TTGTCAAGTAGTGCCTTTTTGAAAAAGGTGTCATAAAATGCCACAAGTTTTTCAACCATAGATTCAATGAAATGGTCATCTCGGGATACAGTAAAATATTTCAAATCCTTCATCATGTATACAATACAAATGCACTGTTTTCTACCAGTACAGTAGAGCTGCCCTTGCACTTGAAAGAAATATGGCTTGCTTTTGTCAATGGTAAGTTTTCCCTCAGATACCTTCAAATAGGGAACAGTTATCTCAGAGATTAGACGGTCTTTAGATGCAAATGGACATTTCACTTCAATGGTAGTATCATCACCGAGAAGTGAATCTGGTGAAGCTGCGAGAAATGGATGAACATCTGACTCAAACATGTCACATGGTGAGGTTTTGAAACCACTTGACTTTTCAAAAGCTTTTATTGCCACCTTTTCATATTTTCTGCCATGTCTAAGTGGTGGACTTTGAATGTCCTCGAAAGGCTTAGTCATTGATCTAGCAAGTTTATGAAAATCAGTTTTGTCTGTTGCCAAACAAATTTTCCCAAAATTGGAAGAAGAAATTCTCTTTGTGTGTTCAGTTTTCCATTCCTAGCTCGCTCTTTGACTGTTTACGGGTTATTATTTCAAGGTTGGTTTTGTCCATATCTGATATTTCTGATATATTCTAGGATTTCAGGTATTGGTCAGCTAAAGATAACTTAAGATAATCATGATCATGATTAACAGCAAATGGATTTGCTGGAGGAAACATTTGAGCAACTGGAAATGTATTGACACTAGGGTGGTTCAACCAAACATTGCGGAAAAAGTCAGGGTAATTTGGCACTTTGCGATACTGAACTGGGCTTGGGTCAAATATAACATTCAGTTCACTGTTGCATAAATCAATGTCAGTCGCCTTAATGGGACTGCCTTTATATGGTTTACTTTTATGAAATGTTTGCAATCTTTGCGTACATGTTTCTTCTGTTAAAACATCGCCCGTTGTTGAAAATTTGTGCATAGCATATAACACTGCATGAATATGTTTGCCATGTCCTGATGGACCCTGGCCTGCAGCACACTCACACTGCCCCTCCACAACAGAACCATCGTCATCAATTGCAATATCGACTTTGTAAGTCACATGCTTCTTCATTTCAGCACGGCACTCAGACTTCAGGAAACACATGTTACTAGGTTTTGAATAACGAAAAAAATTCAAAAACCTACTAGTGTACAGATTCTTTGAACTTGAACCAAGTTTCTTCTGAAAAGGCTGTAAGTAATAATTTATAGCTTCATATGCTAAGAAAGGAAGATGACTGTCACAATTTACATCCCTATAAGTTTCAACTAGGGGCAGCTTCAAGTTCTGTCTCTCTCCCAAAATTGCAGTTTCGGTCATAGCTCTCGAGTCTGAAAAACATTTGAAATAAACAACTGTAAAAGAAAAAACCTGATTGAAAAAAATAACTGTAAAAAATATAGACTATTAAATTATTTTTGGAGTACACAAATGTCTTAGTACATTTTGTCAAAAAGTAACAATTATTTTAAGAACAGATCCCTGTAACTCCAAAGTCAACAAATCAGTATTTCTGTCAGTAAGGAAGCTTAAGCCATCTCTGCATTGTTATCAGTACTAAAACTTGAGTTCAGTAATAATATCTTTACCTTTCACACTTGTGGATGAAATGATAAATGTGTGAACCTTTCACACCTGTGGATGAAATAATAAATGTGTGAACCTTTCACACCTGTGGATGAAATGATAAATGTGTGAACCTTTCACACCTGTGGATGAAATAATAAATGTGTGAACCTTTCACACCTGTGGATGAAATGATAAATGTGTGAACCTTTCACACTTGTGGATGAAATGATAAATGTGTGAACCTTTCACACTTGTGGATGAAATGATAAATGTGTGAACCTTTCACACCTGTGGATGAAATGATAAATGTGTGAACCTTTCACACCTGTGGATGAAATGATAAATGTGTGAACCTTTCACACCTGTGGATGAAATAATAAATGTGTGAACCTTTCACACCTGTGGATGAAATGATAAATGTGTGAACCTTTCACACCTGTGGATGAAATGATAAATGTGTGAACCTTTCACACTTGTGGATGAAATGATAAATGTGTGAACCTTTCACAACTGTGGATGAAATGATAAATGTGTGAACCTTTCACACCTGTGGATGAAATGATAAATGTGTGAACCTTTCACAACTGTGGATGAAATGATAAATGTGTGAACCTTTCACACCTGTGGATGAAATGATAAATGTGTGAACCTTTCACACCTGTGGATGAAATGATAAATGTGTGAACCTTTCACACCTGTGGATGAAATGATAAATGTGTGAACCTTTCACACCTGTGGATGAAATGATAAATGTGTGAACCTTTCACACCTGTGGATGAAATGATAAATGTGTGAACCTTTCACACCTGTGGATGAAATAATAAATGTGTGAACCTTTCACACCTGTGGATGAAATAATAAATGTGTGAACCTTTCACACCTGTGGATGGAATAATAAATGTGTGAACCTTTCACACTTGTGGATGAAATAATAAATGTGTGAACCTTTCACACCTGTGGATGAAATGATAAATGTGTGAACCTTTCACACCTGTGGATGAAATAAATGTTCTGGGTGAAACGATACAGGAAGGTCACATTTTTATGTCAAATTGTGTGGAAACTTCTTGACTAAATATTTCAGAGCAGGTTCAAAAGTAAATTTCTAGTAGTGAATTTGAAATGCTAATTACATCATATTTGCAGTATTTGACTGACACTTGGGTGTCATAAAACAAGTAGAAAGAAACTTAATTTAGCAAGTGTAAAAAAGTACTGTGTATCATGCATGAAAACTTGATGCACCAGTGCACCAATGTATCGTTTCAGCCCTAATAAATGTGTGAACCTTTCAAACTTCTGGCTTTAATAATAAATGTGTGTACCTTTCACACTGAGGAAATAATAAATGTGTGAACCCATCACACTTGCTAAAATGAATAAAAATCTATGAAAATCTAAAAGGCACTCACTGTAAAGGACGATGAACTTGTTAACCCTCAACCTTTCTTCAGCCATCGGAAGTTGCAGAGCTCAAGCAATTTTTAATGTTTTACAAATATTTCAGTACCTACCTCACGCTTTGTTACATCATGTTTTGGCCACAGATGAATCACAATTCCAAATATGTGTATAGAAACGAAGAAAGGGACGAGGGCATTATGATTATTTAAGATACATTTTTGGGGACTTGTCATTTATTGGGGGGTGGGGGAGATAGGAGAAAATCTTACATGGATTGTGTGGGGGTTGGTGAGTTAAACGCGATGCAGTCCTTAGACCGCTTCCAAGATAATATCTCTGCTTAAATTTACTATGTATATTCGTATCGAAGAACGATGTATTATTGAATAATTGCCCAAATAATTATAGAATCTATAAACCGGAAGTTATCCCAACCGCATGTAAAAGGGTGTAATATTTTGCACACTGCCAGTCAGTCATTAATTCGAAGAATAAATTATTGTGACTGACACTTACCTTCCGTACAAGATCCGTGGTCACCGCTCTTTCCCTTGTCAGTGCATCACAAAGCGTCCTTAGCAACGGGGCATGTTGTTTACGTGAACGAAAACTGAAGCACTTATGTTGTCGGCATTATCGCGTCGATGCTTACGTTATTTGTTTAGCGATCTCAGTTGTCTAAACTAAACATATGTTCTACCAATGACCATGATACCAATATTGCACTGTGTAAAGTGACAAAATGGGGAATAATTACTGTTACAATCTTATAAAATAACTGCTCAGTAAGAAATGCCGAGAAACAGCAATATTAGAAACTTACCGTTCTATCAGATCGATTTTTCTTCCTGACACTCGAGCACCTCGTGCTTTGAGCTCAGTCTTCAGTTCGGGCAACTTCCAGCTTCCGTAATTCATGATAGAAATAGGCCTTCAAGTACTACCGGCTGTTTACAGAAAAGCAAGTGGGTCAATGTCGACTGAAGTTTATATATTCCCGCGGATACAACGATGAATGTTGGACCGTAACTACCGCAGCGCCGCCAAGCGGGCGAGGGGGCGCAACTCCAGGAATGTTTGCCATTGACCACTAAGACATGAACACAATGACTGTCTTCTGTCCCTTCCTCCATATTGCTTGAGTGGTGTTTCAATAAACAATGTCGGCTTGGTAGAGCACAGTACTCCATGATATCGCTGGTAGAGCAACTTTCGAACTTCTTTTGTGGATGCCCATCTTCCAGAGGCAAGGGAGTTAACTGACCATAAATGTCCAGTTTCATCCTTTGCCGAACTAGGCTGGAATTTCTGGATTGTAGCGCAACCAGTTGCTATTACAGGTTATACTCCTTCTATGTCCTTTGACAATCAGAATGATATCACTTGCATTTGCTTCAAAGAAAATGGCGGTGCCCAGTCAAGACAATATGATTGATAATCAAGATCTATATTGTAATAAAACATGTCTTACTTCGCGAAGTGCATCCAGTCATGTGAGCACCTTGATTAAAAACATGAAAATATTTGGAAAATATCTGTTGAAGCTAAGTTGAGGGTACGCATTCTATGCAAATCCTGCAATTGTCAGAGGTTTACACGTCAGTTCACGAATCTGATTTCAATTTTATTATGCAATTTTGATTGGACTCTGCATGAACTCTATAGTCCAGCCAAAACGTAACTCCATAATTCCAGGCTAGTTCGGCAAGGGTGGAAACTTGACTTTTGCAATCAGTTAACTCCCTTGCCTTAGAAAGATGGTGGATGCAAAGAAAGCAAGAGAGATGTGAACTATCACACATTAGTGGGAGGGAGGAAAAGAATTATTAGTTTTAGATGGCCACATTGAAAGCTTTGGGCTGAGTGTGTCAGGAGGATGTTCAAGATATTGCCATGTTTCCTTAAAAAGTTACTGTGACTTATTATTTGGCAAAATTGTATTGATTTGTTTCTGTGTACCTGTTGTCTTCTAGAATTTCCCCTGACTTGGTATGTGGTTATCCAAGTCTAAGACCAGCTCTAAGGATGACACAAGCAGCAAGCAGACTACCCAAGGAATTGGAAGTCAGCAACATGACCTGTTTAACACACGCAAGAGAAGGAGGTGGGAAGTCAGTGATGAGAATCTTGACAACCGTCGCTCAGTGTCTGAAAAACCCAGTACAGCTAAAAAGACAAAAGCTGCCGCAAGTACTAGTCAGTATGAAGATGAGGTGTCTGATGAGGAGTTTGTCATCATCGACTTGTTCTCCTCTGATGAACATGAAACTTCAAGTCAGATGCCCAAATCTGATGTTAAGACTGTGTCACACATATCATCCTCCCAAAAGAAAAAGACACCGAATGACACCAGGAGTACTGCCTCCAATTCACAGGTGTCTCCAATCTACAACACCTCATCTATCTTTAAGAAATTCCAAAATCAAAGTGGAGGTCTGGGAGCAAGCTCATCAAAGCAAGGTGTTGATGATGAGATGATGTTTACACAGGATGCAGGTGACACTGACTTACCTGAGCTCTCCTGGCCAAAGAGAAGGACTGTCAGACTGTCTCAGAGACACAGTTCAACTTCTAGCCAGAGTCAAGCCAGTCAGTCTCCCAAGAGGAACAAAAGCATGTCACAGATTGTCAGTCGAGTCATCTCAGATATCAACAGTTCTAGTTCTGACGCTGAGGAAACATTAGCTGAAAAGTTGTTAACCTTAAAGAGGCATGCAAAACAACAGCCTGCTGATTCTAAAAGTAATAAAGCTAAGAGTTGTGGTCAGGTTATGAAGTCCCCTGGAGACACACTTACCGCCTTGAAACCAAGACCTAACAAGTTGTCGCTAAACAAAAAAAACCAGAACGTTTCTTCTGACAGTTTTTCTGACTTTGTTATACTAGAAACCTCAAATGGAGACTCTTCATCAGATGACATACCTACAAGCAAAGAGAACATTAAAAATGAGCAAAAGTTTGTTGCAATTGCAAAAAGGGGGAAAGTCTCAACAACCTGTGCCCCATATCATGGTGTATATGAGAAAGACAATAAGTGTGACAGTCAAATATGTAAGGGGGAAAGGCATAAAGACATTGGTAATGTGACAAAGTCCAATTCAACATCAGTTTGGCAGTCTAGTGCAATGACAAAGTCTAGTAAGAAGAATGCTTCCTCCTCTGCTTCAGACAGTGAGTTCCCTAAAAAGCCACCCCTTTCCAGTGCTAATCTTGATGCTGATAGAAAGAAGGGCCAGGCACCTTACAAATCAAGGACCTCAACAATAACCAGTAGTCGGAAGGCTAAGATAAAGAGAGACTATGAAAGTTTTTCGGATGATGACATATCGTGCCATTCTGCAGCTTCCTCTGACTCTGAAGGGGAATACCATTGTCAACCACTTCCACAGAAGGCTCCCAGAAAGTCCAAGGCTATTGTGTCTTCTTCTGATGAGGAGACACAGGAATATCAGTATGAGCAAGGTGAACACCAAACAAGAACACCTGCCCTCTCCAGTTTGATTGTTTCCCAGACTGCCAAGGAGAAGCTCAAGAAGGTTGTGTCTGCTACTTGCAAGATGGAGTGTAGGAGAGGAAGCACACAAGATGGTGATGCCACACAACAGTATGACTTCAAGGTTTATGACAACAGGCACCTTGAGTCCATGAGTTTTCAGACTGCAGCTGATATTAAACAAACAAAGGAAACAAAATCTGCTCAAGGAGAGGAAACTGTACCTGGATCCAAAACAAAAGATGATGAGATTGACGATGAACTGACCCAGCCCCCAGACACATTGTTTGACTCCCAGGAAGGTGACGACAGTGATATCATGGTCATTGGTCTTGATGAGGACGTGACACAACCAATGGAAGAGGACGATGAGGAACTGACCCAGGAACCATCACAGACTGTTTATGGGAATCCTCCTGAACTTTCTCTGGTTGATGCAATGCTGCATCAGAAGTGTCCTTCCAATATATCAGATGTTGATCCTCCACTTCTGAGTCAGCAGGTCTTGAATCCAAAAGTCATATCCTGTGTCAAACCTCCCATGGTGGAAACTGCGATTACCGGCAGATCTTTTACAGAGTCAAAGAAAATTGAAAGTAAATCAGGAGGTAGCACTGACAGCAATGCCAGTGAAAATTGTCTTTTGTTTAAGCCTGTATGTGATAGGAATCGAGAGGGAGAGGAAATAAATGAAAATAGTGGTGTTTTTGATCATTCAAAGCATTCTGAAATTAGTGTTTCAGGATTTCACAAAAAGTATGTTGCAGCTTCCAAGCAAGATAGGGCAGAGGACACAAGGAAAGAGTTCACTGATATTCCAGATGATTTTGAAAGTATAAAGGTGAAAAAGGAAGGAGTCAAGATTAAACAGGAGAAGCTAGAGCTCCCTACAAAGCTGCCTTGTTACACACAGGAGGAGGATGTCATCTTTGTGTATGATTCAAGTGATGATGAAGCCCTTATTGATCTCTCACAGACCAATGTTCGCTCAGAACACATCTCGGACACTGACAGCATGTTTGACGTGTTTGACCACTCTGACACAGAACTGTTTGACCTTGACTTTGGTGAGGAGGATGTGACCCTGGTTAATGATTCTGATCAAGACAAATCCCTTGAAGAGATAGCTGAGGAGGATAGGAATCCCTTTGATCATCTAGGAGAGTCTGATGAATCTGATCAAGAACAGATTCAAGGGACAACCACCACTAAGAAAAAAGGAACATTTGACTTTGAAAGTGTTTCTGATAACAGTAAACATGCTAATTGTCAGATGTCTTCAAAGCCTGGAAAGAGAAGAAGCATTTGGGTGATCAGCTCAGATTCAGACGAAGAGGAAATTTTCCATCCCGAGCATGGGTCTCCACATTCAATGTCTGTCAGTAAAGTACTGGAAACAAATCAGGTTGAGGATATTTACCTGGCAGAAACACAAGTAGATGATGTGGAGGACAATGGTGAGATGCTGGAAGCATGGGATGAAAAACCCCCAGGCTTACACATTGTACCAAACTACAAGCAGTATCCTCTTACCAGTGACAACAGTGTGTTTAATGTGTTGACTGAAGTTGATGACTCCCTTGATGATAAGAGCAAGGATAACTGTGTGATAAAATCCAAGTCTGATTTAGGTGACAACAATCAATGTCATAAGGAAAGTGAAATCCAGACTGGCAGCAGTGTTGCTATACAGCTGTCCAGGAAGGTATCAAGAGGTAAAAGTGTGTCCTTTAACTTGCAGCAGGAATCTTCAACAGATGATTCATTTCTGTCTGATGAAGACATCTATATGGCTGCAACGCAAATGGATGCAAGTGTATCTGAAGCTTTGCAAAATAAAGCCAACAATTTATCAAAAGATAAAGCTATTGTTAGCTCAGATAATACCCAAGTTGTTGTAGCAAGGAAAACAGAACTATGCCAGGATCAACATGTGTGTAGCCAAGAAAAGAAAATGCGAAAGACTGCTTCAGTTAAGTCAGTTGTATGGTCGTCTCCCAATGTAGAAATGAGGCCTCCAGTATTTAAACCTCCTAAGTTATCCATGGGGAGGAAAAGCACTATTAGTCATGAGAACATATTTGATGTTGATACACAGATTGATTGTGCTCATCTACCATCAGAGGTGCCATCAAAGACTTCAACACCCAAAGCAACTGATGTGAAATCGAAAGTATCTCTATTTGGCATGACCAAGTTAAACCTTCAAAAGTTATACAGTGCACAAACACAGTCTATGTCCCCATCCATTCACGCAGACTCTACCACAGCCCAGAAAGCTGGGGTCGACCCTGATACAGAATCTGATGATGATGCTTTGTACAGAGCTCTGGATGACCTGGAGGAGACAAACCTGTCATGTCTGAATAGCACAGGACTCGCAGAGAAGGTGCTTCACAAGGACCTAGAAGAGGATGTATATGGAGCTGCTACACAAGTTCAGCCTGAACCTAGGGGAAGGAGTAGCCAACAGAGGGATGTGTTTGGTGCTGCCACCCAGGTTGATCCTGCATCAATGCAGGATATGGAGAGTCTGCAAAGATCTAGTGATGAGGAAGTTCCTCCTTGCATGGATGTTGATCCCTTTGATGTGATGACTCAAGTTGATGAACCTTGCCTCACAAAGTCTCTGCAGGTGGAATCTTGTGGAATGGGAGTACTGCCTGAACGGAGGAGAGAATCAGCAGAAACCAATCTCCCCAAGATTGCACAATCTGTGATGAAGAAAATAATGACCAAGCATGTCCAAAGGAAGAGCATCATGGTTTTGCCCCCAAACAGTAAAGTGTCTGAGACACAAGTGAGTAATAAACAAGAAGAAGAACAGATGAAAACTAAGGTGGCCCCGATCACCAAGTCCAATTTTTATAAGGCAACCCCTCCAGTAAAGACTACATGGTTGTCCAAAAGAGTTCCACCCCAAAAAACAGTGCCACAAAAAACTGGCAGAATGATCAAAAAGAAGAAGCAGAAGAGTGAAGACATTGGCTTCTCTCTGACACAGAAGATACAGACGGCCAAGCGGCACCAAAAAGAGAGATCTCACAAGACTGCTGTTGATCCTCTGGTGCCTTCAGCCAAGATGGAACCAGCAGGTAGGTCAGACATGATGCCCAGAGTTACAGTAAGTATGTGTATATAGCAATATTTGTCATTTATTATGTAGTCCATATAGTCAGTGCCTTGTCTGTCCGTCCGTCAATCCTTCCGTCCGTAATCATTTTGTTTCCGGAGCACAACTAAAAAAGTTGACAGATATTTCAAACAGATCCTGAAGTGGTGCCGTTTGCTATTTGGGGATTTGGGCATTTTTATTTTTCTCGATTTCCATGGAAAGAATTTGGATTTAATGTTACAAGGCAGTAGTGGATTTTGTTGCTGGAACACAACCTGAAAACCATGAAAATCTTTTCGTTCAAACCTGGTACATGGATTAACCAAGGACTGAAGTGGTGCTTTTTGCTCTTTAGGAATTTTTCCCTGTTTCCATGGATACAAGTTTCACTTTGACTCTGTTCACAGTGGTGTGTTTGTCCGGACCATATCTCTAAAATTAATAGGTGTTCTTTCTTAAAACTGTGAACACACAAAGACCAGGTTATCAGATGGTGCCTTTTGTTATTCAAGGATTTTTAGAATTTATATTTTTTCCGTTTCCATGGCAACAAGTTTGACTTTGACTTTGTTCGTATTGGTGTGTACCTGACAGAAATACAAAGTTCCAAATCCCAAATCCATGGTTTTGTTTTGATAGTTGAATAACTTCTCTTGTATCATGTTGTGTATACGAACAGACAGAATAGATTGAAATTCTCAAATCAAGTTGGCCTTAAAGTAACACTCAGATGATTGTTCTTTCGTATTTGTCATCTCGGGGGATATAGAAATGGGCTCAGTCTGTCCATCACGTTTTGTTTCCGGTGCAGAACTCGGAAAACATAAGAGTTAACTATACAAAGCTTGGTACACACATTCACCACATGGTGTAGATGTGTCTTTTGCCATTTATTCTTCGCCTGCATTTTTAATGTATTTTATATAAACTTTTGAAATTTGGACTTAGTTTCTGAACTGAATGAAAGCAGTGGGTTTGATTTCCAGATCAGGACTTAAAAATGATTAGAGATATCTTTATGAAATATAGTACACACATTCACCATATGGTTCAGATGTGCCCTTTGCTATTTATGATTCCCCCAATTATTTTGTTTTTTTATAAATTCTATTAATTTAGACTAGAATTGAATGGAAGCAATCTTAACAATTGCACCTCCGTTCTGTTATGTACTTCTCCATGACACTTACAATATCAGTCTAAGGCTGTTTTTGAGGGGTCAGCATGCTCACAACTTTTGTACCTTATACCTTATGTTTTTGTCTCAACAAGGCATAGTTAATAATAATATGTATTTCATATTTCAGCACTGCACACAAGCAGCAGTGATGTGGCTCTGCCTGATGAGGAGGAGATCATGGCCAAGGGCCTGCCTCTGTTGACCTTCAACAAGCTGGTGGAAAAGCACAAGCCAGATAGAGCTGGCAACAAGACCAGCAGTACTGGCAAACATGCAGATGAACACCTATCTGTTGTTGACATGGAGGTTGAAAATATAACCTCCTCTGTGATAAAAACCAATACTGAGACCTTGCTTTCATCTGTCTTAAACAAAGACATATCACGTGTGTGTGGAAAATCCAAAGACAGATCAAAGTCTACATCACCAAAACCATCATCATCCAAGACCTCTCATAGTTCATCCAAACATTCCTCAAGGTCATCCCACCCATCTCACTCTTCGCATTCAAAATCAGTGTCAAGCTCATCTAAAGTAACATCTAGTTCATCCAAATCTAGTTCATCCAAAACAACACCTGGGTCTTCCAAATCTACATCCAGTTCATCAAAATCAACATCAAGATCAGCCCATTCAGGATCAAGTTCAACAAGCTCTACATCGGGTTCTTCCAAACCATCATCACGGTTATCACCTGGTTTGTCTAAGCCACTGGGTTCATCATCCGTTTCAAAACAGTTATCTACTCCGTCATCTAAGTCATCTGGTTCAGTTAGACCATCACCTTTGTCACAAAATAGTAGACATTCAGTTGCTGACAGGAAAGATTTAGTTCCACCCAAATCAGTAGAGAAGAAATCCTGCCTCGATGTTAGTGCCGGTGAGACAGATGCTTCTACACCACCCCCTGAGAGAACATCAAGTCCTACAGCTTCTGCTCAACCAGCTAAAGAAGCCTCCTTTGATCTGTCCATGTACCCTCTTCCTGCTAAGGCCAGGACTACCCCCACTCCGCTGGCTGGGCCAGGGAAAGAAAACAAAGGACAAAGTATTGTGGCTGGGGTCCCAGAAACAGCTTCCACTTTAAAGACTACAGCATTCCATGCCCCTGAACGCTTGTCCACACCATCTCCAGCCCATCTTCCCAATGACTTGAAACTCAGTGAAAATGACCCAAGGAAAGCCAGCTTGGTAAGTAATTTTAGAACTGTGCTCTCACCTGTTGTATCAGTAGCATTCTATATGTGACATGTTTGTACATAAAAATGACATGTATATTGATCACTGACTATCACTTTTGCAGGTCAGATCCATGGGTAAGTCTGTGCAACAGCGTGTGTCCAGGGAGACGTCTGCTCTAGCTTCAGGTCAGCATCGGAATCTCCTAATGAAACATCCCCACAATCTGCTCGTGAAACCAACAGTTTCAGTTATACCAATGGGGATAAATGCAAATCAGAGACCTAGGACAACCTTCAGACCAATTGAACCGATACTGCCGTTTTCACAGATGTTAAAAGGTTCTGCAGGAGAGCACAGACCAACAGTTACAGCAACAACAGGAGCTAAGGTTCAGGGTGTCATTAAGGATCCAGCCAAACTGATGGACATGACTTACTACCTTCAGAGGGTCCTTGCCTGGAACCCTTTGTGGCTGGAAGAACAATGTAAGTGAAACTTCTCTTGTTTTCCAAACCTAGAAAGTGTCTCTAATTCAGTACACTGAAGAGGCCTGTTGCTATTACTCTCCAGGTAAACCTGAGTTTGCTGGCCACCCTCCCCCAATCCTGAAGCCTGAAGAATGTGTATATCCCCTACTGGAGAGCTACACCAGTCTGGAGGACTATCAGACCATCATGACCAGACTGCTGCTTATGGAGACCTGGGACATGGTGAGTTTCACAACTTACATTGGCTTGTACTTATCAGAGACCTTGGACACAATGTTTTGTTTGTTTGAGACAGTATAGCATTTGGTCTCTGTTATATAAAGCAGTCTGTGCCGAAGATGTTTGATGTTACTAGCCCGGACGTGGCTCTAAGCATAATGTTTAGTTGAATTTAGTGTTATTGTGTGGATTGTTATTAGCTGAGCTTACTAGACTGAACTAGACTTGTGTTTCGGACAAGTGGCTAACATCACCGACTGAAACAGTAATTCCTTTACTCACCTATCAGGGACCCATTCCCATGCACCATGCACTTCTTGCCAGTCCAACATACATCTCCACGATCACTGAAACTTGTAGTTGTATCATCTTGCAGATATTCAAGGAGTGGAAACAAAAGAAAGTAAAGACAGTGACAAATGTTATGTTTCTCAGTGTGGACATCTGTAGCAAGCAGGACAAGGGTGGACTCAGCAAATTCATCTGGCAAGGTCAGTGGAGCTGGGATACATCTGCAACAGTATCATTCAAGCCCATTTGCTCTGCTGTTGATAATGTACTCTTGTTTTGTTGTAAATGACAGGGGTTTTATCAAGTTTAGTATACACGTCCTAAAGGTTGGGGCCTTAGTTACCTAAAGTCTGTCATCTGTTCATGTTATGTTCTCTAGAGATCAAATTGTCCAACATGGTGTGCAGTTGTAGGACAGTTAACCATTGTTAACCTGGTAACAAAGTAACTTTCAATGAACAATGATGATAATACTTTAACAAGATCGGTTACATATTTCTGTCATGCCACTGTCAAAAACTTCCATCTTTGGTACCAACATGATAAATGGTACTAGTTCAATTAAATGTCTGAATAAGTGCAATGCAGCATTTTGAGCACTTTATCATCTAATTATATCATGTCACCAAAGCAGGCTAGGTTATCAGTGAAAGGTGAGCTTCTGTACCAGTAGCACTGTTTGTGACTGCAGGTGTGCTGACGAGGGAGCAGTACCGCCGCGGCCAGTACCCCATGGAAGGAGACCTGTTGGGGATGAATGTGTGGGGGTCACCACTGCCAGCTCAGAAGGATGCTGCTACCAGGGCCCCAGCCCAGCCAACATGGAAGCCCTTCATGGGATATGTGGAGAGGATGAATGTCAGACCCTGTGACAATGCCTATAATCTCTTCCGAACATACCCTCTACTCAGTAAGTCTGTAAGGGGAACGCCAGGGTCAGATCAATGTTGAATGTCTCCAAAACATACCCAGTAAATACAGTTGTAAATAACTCGGTGAAGAAATGCTTTTTTCTTGAAAATGTTCTCTTGCAAGAAGACAGGTTACTTCACCACAGACTGGGTATTACCTTCATCTAATGACAACAGCACACATCTTTTATCAGAGACATGTTTTAGCTCTAATGTCTTGTCTGGCCAGAATCCTGTGTTGAGAAGCTGAGCGGTGAGCTGCATCTCCTGACTCTGACGGCACTGGGGCGGTACCGCAAGTTTAAACCCATCAGTGACAGGCTGATGACGCTGGAGGTGAGACAGTAGATTCCCTCACCAGATGATGATGAGGCCCAGGGAGGACTCAATACATGTGAATAATATGCTAGTTATGTTGAAGCCCTGGCTGCTTGTTTTTTTGCTCTCGTGAAAGTCCAATGTCATTGTGCTGAATGCCATTAACTGAATAAGGTATCAAATTACATTAAGTAATACGTTACCACTGTTATACCGAGGCTGTTGTCTCCCACAACTGCTCTTATAGCGAAATCTTCCACAGAGATCTCAATTACCTCATGCAGCACGTGCCTAGCCACCCATGCTGTCATGTAACACCCTTTTTCACCTCCTGCCAATCCTTTGGTGATATTTATTACTGTTTCTTAGTCCTAAACTGTTACTGTTTCTTATCGTTTGTTTTTCTTCGGAAAATATCCATTTTGTGAATATGTTTGGTGTGTGTGTTGTAACCATGTTTTGTTTTTTGTTCAAAGAATAATGTCGGACATGGAATTGGACATTTTATCCAGCACCCCTGCTACTCCTGTAAACAGGGGCTGTGTGGCCTGTCAGAAGTTTCTGTCTTCTCGGGATCCTCACGATCGTTGCCCGTGGTGTCAGGTTCCTTGCGAGGACACCTGGTGCACCCAGTGTGAGGGTCTGGGGCCGGAGGACTTTGAGCGATACAGGCGCTACGGGCACTCTGCTATCACCCCTGAGGTAGCCGGTTCATCTGGTCGGGCGCCCCTTGCGGGCACTACCTCCACGGCGGCGGATCCCCTGGCGGCTCTTGGGCTGTCCGGGGATTCCGTCGCGGCCTTATTGTCTCAACTGGTGGACTCCAAACTGGCAGCCTTATCTCAGGATAAGGCCCTGGTTGTTCCATCCCCGGCCCCTCCAGAGTGGATGCTCAACCCAGTAGTGTTTCAGTGGCTGTGCGAACATTTGGGTCGTCTGATGGTTGACCTGTTCGCAACCAGGTTCAACAATCAACTCCCGTTGTTTGTATCGCCAGTCCCGGACCTGAGGGCCAGCGATCACGATGCTCTCGCGTTAGACTGGACGGTCATGGACGCTTATGCTAACCCGCCAACAGCATTAATACCATTCATTCTAAGCCGGCTCTGAGGAGTTCGCTGGCAAATGTTACTGACTGCGCCAATGTGGCCGAACAGATCGTGGTACCCCGACTTGCTGGCCCCAGTCACGCAGTCGCAACTTCCTCTGCCTGTGAGACCGGATCTCCTGATCCACCCTCACACCCGTCAACTTCATCCAAACGCAGGACAGTTCAATCTGCACGCGAGGATGTTGTCACCGAGCGGCTGAGGAGTAAAGGTTTTTCTCGTCGGGCGTCTCGGGCATACGTTAGTATGCATTGTGATTCTACCCAGAAGGTGTATAATGCACGCTGGGCTATTTTCACGAAGAGGTGTTGTAAACATCACATTCATTCGCCAGAAAAGGTATCTGTGCAGGATATTGCTCGTTTCATGTCTCACTTATGAGAGACCCTGAAACTCTCCAGGGGTTCCATTGCCAACTATGTCTCCTCCATTGCTACGTACGGGACGTTGCTATGGGTACCAGTCTCTCAAAAGAGCCGGTGATTCGGGGTATTATCAAGGGTTTCAAACAGCAAGATCTTAAGAAAGGTCGCCTTCGGGCTTCTGCCTGAGATCTTTCCCTGGTGTTAAAATCGCTTACGGAAGCTCTGTATGAACCCTTGAAAAATGCTTTGTTTCGGCATGTGACTTGGAAAACAGCATTTCTCCTCCCCTTTGCCACGGCGGCACGTGTGTCTGAAATTCATGCACTCGATGTCACCAAGGTACAATTTGATAGGGGCGACGAAGGAGAGGTCCGCCTGGGCCTGCTCATGGGCTTCGTCGCTAAGAATCAGAAATTTGGCCAAACGGAGAGAGAATTCACTGTAAGATCACTCAAAGAAATCTTACACCCTGTTGATACCGAGGACAGACCGCTGTGTCCGGTTAGGGCCCTTAAGTATTATCTTAAGGCCTCGAATGAACGCAGACAAGGGCGTGACCGTCTGTTCATATCGTGTAACCCTAATCGGACTGCTGACATAACTCGCAACTCGATTGCGTTATGGCTTCGTTCTGTCATCAATCTGGCGTACCAGTCTCAGGGGTTACCGGTTGCGGGGTCAAACCCGCATGAGATCAGGGCGCTAGCAGCAACTTTTGCCGCTTGGGCCGCTGATCGCGGCACAAGCGGTCATCTAAGGTGTGTGCCCAGCGCAATTCCGAACTCCTCAGGCTTCAGACCTTGCACGGTGGACAATATGGGTCGATTCCAATGTTCCCACAGCAGTTGGTACGGGAGTGGGGGTCCCGCAAGCCAGCGCGCTCATCCACAGGTGAGTGCGGCTTTCTGTGTGTTTCCTTATTTGAATTGACAATTATGTACTTAATTGTCTGTCGTGTATTGCAACCTTGTAATGCATACATTCAGATATTGAATTTAGGTCACGTGCCTATTACATACGCTTAAGTAGGCTTGTTCTTGGGATTTAAGGTCCGAATGAAATTAATTTCCCTCTTTCTGACTGTTTCACCTGATCCAAGATTTAGCTCACACGGATACTGTGTTTCTTCCGCTGCGGCAAAGAAATACCTATCCAGTGGGGCGGTTCAGAGTCACCAATCATTGGCAAGACGATTGAGCCTTCCGGTATGCGCTTGACAGTGCTTTGGTATTCCTATAGGGTAACGCCTAGCTAGGAGCATGCGCATCGAGTGCTTCCACCTTGTTGTTTACTTCCGCTGGTCGGAAGGAACACGAGCAGTCAGGTTCGGGTTGTAGGTGCTCCCCACCGCCTACTGTGGTAATCAGCCTCGGTATAACAGTGGTAACGTATTACTTAATGTAATTTGTAAAATTTTCCTATTCGGAATATTCAATAAGTTATACGTTACCACATGGCTGATGCCCGCCCGACCGTCCCCTGAGCACTTGCTCTCGCTAGAGACAAGAGTGAAGGGTGTTACATGACAGCATGGGTGGCTAGGCACGTGCTCGCAAGGGGCGCCCGACCAGACGAACCGGCCACCTCAGGGGTGATAGCAGAGTGCCCGTAGCGCCTGTATCGCTCAAAGTCTTCCGGCCCCAGACCATCACACTGGGTGCACCAGGTGTCCTCGCAAGGAACCTGACACCACGGGCAACGATCGTGAGGATCCTGAGAAGACAGAAACTTCTGACAGGCCACACAGCCCCTGTTTACAGGAGTAGCAGGGGTGCTGGATAAAATGTCCAATTCCATGTCCGACATTGTTCTTTGAACAAAAAACAAAACATGGTTACAACACACACACCAAACATATTCACAAAACGGATATTTTCCGAAGAAAAACAAACAATAAATGCGAATACATAAAAAACATATAATAGAATTATATATATATTAATAGGTCATGCAAAAAAAAACCAATATATACTACCAAAGGTGGACGGAAGACACGAAGTGCCAAAGCAACACCCCGTTAGTAGCGGAAAAAAGGCGCCCATCGCCTTATAACAAATGTCCCGTAAATTACAGTTTACTTAGGACTAAGAAACAGTAATAAATATCACCAAAGGATTGGCAGGAGGTGAAAAACAGGACCGTAGTAGGAATGCTGGAGAGCAGTCACAAAACGTCTTGCTAGGGCAAGCGAAGAGACAAGAGTGAAGGGTGTTACATGACAGCATGGGTGGCTAGGCACGTGCTGCATGAGGTAATTGAGATCTCTGTGGAAGATTTCGCTATAAGAGCAGTTGTGGGAGACAACAGCCTCGCTATAACAGTGGTAAAGTATTACTTATAGAATATTCCAAATAGGAAAATTCTACAATGTTCATACAACATTAATTAATTAAATCAATTACATCAGGAGGGTAACTTTAAAGAAAATTATTATTTTGTACTTATCCTGCATTACTCCTTAATTCATATTACTGCTTGTTCTTGACAGAGAAAAGAGCTGTGTGAAGGTCTTTGCTTGAAGAAGTTGCTCCAACTAGCTGAGAGGCCAACCCATCACGCAGCTCTCACGTGACCAAAGGAAGTGACGTCACGGATCATCACATTACTCTTGTCACTTGACAAGTTTTTACTTCTTGTAACATAAAACTGGTTCAAACCCTTACGTGTTTGCTATTTGAGTTAATGTTTTTTGTCTTTATGTTGTGCCTACGATTTGTATTTTGTACACTCTATGTTTGATAAACATGTGCATAACGTTATTAGATACTTACTGGTGTTTTCTCAAAAGAAAACATAATGCCAGGTGTCTTGTTGTTCCAAGTAGCCTTCTTGAATATTTTACGTAGCCAGCAGTTAGTGAACTGGTTTGCGTTCTATATTCTTTTTGCTTGGTACCCCACGATTGGCGTATCCTCGCAAATATTGTTTGTTTGATTGTATGTTGTCTTACGTTTGTCGTAATATTTGTTTCATAAACCCACACAGTGGGATAAACAAATTATAGCATACATAATCGGGTGGGGATGCATTGTGATTTTACACTGCTTCGTTGCAGATATCATGCCCTCCTGCTCAAAGTGCCGGGGTAATAAGTTGGCGTGGGATCCCCAACCACTGTGCCTTATTGTACATCTCAATGCTTTCTGGGTCACCGATGTCAAGATTGTTTACTGCTTTCACCCACAGCTTTCAGTCAGTACCTCCGTGTGTGTAAAAAACGCAGAACACAGCAGGCCAGGAAACAGGGGCACATGATGTCAGACTGCTCCGAGAATTCGCCTACAAGATCGGCCATCTTGGATGCCTACCCCCAGACCTCAACTGCTACCTTGATGTTGGACCCCACAGTCGCAGTCTCCACCCAGAGCACTTTGACGACCACAACAGCATCTATCTTTACGGGGGCGACCACCTTGACGCCCGGCGTGGTGCTCACATACCAGACATCGCCTATACCTATATTACGGCACAGACGCCCATGATAGACGCCTCTTTCCTCCAGTACATTCAGAACTTACAGGCCAGACAGCCGTTGATGCCAGCG